ATCTTTGCTCTCTTTGCCACACACATGCAACAGCAGCACACGAGTGTCCAATCCTGCTCCAACTCGCTGCTCTACTGTGTCGGCTGCACCATGGACACCATGGACAACGCTCAGGATCCGGTGCAAGAGATGTGGGGTGTGCTCAAGTCCCTGACACCAATGGAGGTGGACCCCACCCCCAACCCGAAGAGGCAGAGAGCTGGTGGTCTGCCAAAAGGCAAAGGCAAGGGCAAACACAAGTCTCGCAAAGACCAGAGCCACAATCCACAAGACGCCGAACTTCGACCAGTGGTACAGGCCCTTGCGCGGCTGGTTCTTCGACACGAAGACACTCTGAGGGGGTCTCGCGGTGGACCAGGACTTCATGCCTTTTTTTGAATCTCGGACCAGGTTCCAGCATGGTCAAGATGATGCAGGCCACGGACGATTGGCACCAACAGGCGCCGACAGATTGATTCCTCTTCGGATCAAGGTCCTCCATGTTCTCCTGGAGGAGCTCCTGGCCCGTGTTCAGAAGTTGCAGAAGACCCCCTTGGAGGACGCCCTGGTGAAAACCTTGCCGCAGCATCAGTACGTGACCTTGAACGACAATGCTTGAGAGTTGAACTTCCCCTTCCTGCACTGGAATCCGGAGCTCAAGAAGCTCGAGCTCAACATGGATCAGACGCCACTCACGATGACCCATGTGACCACTCAGCTCACTCGCATTCTGACATTGCTTCAGAACCATGCGGTGATCGTCAGATTCAGCGCCCTACGTCCGAATGCTCAGATTCAGCAGCACATGACCAAGCCGACGGCGGCCACCTCCGGCACTCCACAGGTGATCCCCGTGGAGACTCTCGCTCTCCATGAACCACAAGTACTCGCTGGAGATGCATTCCCTGTGGCAGGAGCTGGCATTCTCGGGACTATGGCAACTCATTTTGGGCAGGATGCGACCAGCCTCGCTTCAGAGGACGCCATTGGCAGGCCACCTCGGCCGGATGTTGGAGACCCTATGAGCTTGGCTTCCAAACAGACACTCAGGGGTTTGCAAAACCAGGAAACTGCTGCTACATGAACTCAGCCGTCCAGGGTTTGCTATGGGGTGCAATCAAAGTGGGGCCTTTGCAGGCACACCAATGGAAGGTCCTACCAGAGATCTTCGAACACATCGTCAGCAATGATGATGGTGAGCCTGTCTTGCTATGGGGCAATGGCAAGTGGCTTTCTTTGATGGATCAATGGGCCCGTCCCTTTGCACAGCACGACCTGGTTGAATGCCTCCAGTTCCTGCTTCCCATTGTGGAGCCTTGTTTCCTGAGCAATCTCTGGGAGGCCAGGATTGAGGCAGATGGAGTTGTCCGCACGGTGGACAGCGGGGCACACTTCTGTCCTGTACGTCTCTATCTGAGTGCAGCGGAAAACGAAGATACGACCGAGCTGCAAGAGCTGTTCAGTGCATGGTCGCTTGAGTCTTATGGCCTCCAGGCCTTTGCTGGTCCAGCCGACCTACTCACAGTGCAGATAGACCGATTCAATCGAGATGGGGGCAAATGCACTCACAAACTCAGTTGGAACCATCCAGTGTTTGTACCTCACTTCGTGCACTTTAGCATGGAGATTGACAACATTCCATACACGGTGGTTGCGGTTTCCCATCATGTAGGTCATGACCCTCACTCAGGACACTAGCAGACTGCACTTTGGGATGAGACCCACTGGGTTTTGTTGGATGATGCAGCGCCTCCAGTGCATGTGACTCGACTTCCGGACGACGTGCTCAGGAAGTGCTGTGTCCTCTGGCTGAAGCTTACGGACCATGGCGGAGCTCAGATCTGTGATGTGATTGACTCAGGCTCCTTGGCAATTTTGACTAAGGAACAACAAATGCTGAACGTAAAGCAAGCGTTCAGTCAGGACCATGCACTTTTCGATGCTTGGCTGCCCGCTCTCGATCGTCTCGACGTTCGATTGCTGCTTGACTCCTTGGAAGCATGCGGCCTCCTGACGCGGCGCTGTGTGCTGTGCAACATGCAGCCGCCTGACCTCAAGTCTCACTTGAGGCTCCACCATGCTGCGCTGTGGGATGAAGCTGAGCAGCCGTGTAAGGAACTTACGTTCCAATTCATGACGCAGGCCAGACCAGGTCGTTTGTGCGCCTGCCAACCTTTCTATAGTGAGATGGAGAGCATGGACGAACATATCTGTCCTTGTTTTCGCAATTTTGGAATGCTCCACCGATTCTTGAAGCGCATGCAGCAGGATGTGGCCATAGAAACGACGGCCGCACTAGCTTTGCAGATCGCTCAGTCCTTTTCATGACCATACGTGGTACGAAGTGCCTGACCTGACAAATGTTCAAGAGGGTCAACGCTACCTCCCGAAGCAGAGGGCGTCGCGAAAGAAAGAAAGAAGATGATGATGATGATGATGATGATAATGATGATGATGGTGATGATGATGATGATAATGATGTGAGCGAGAGAAGCTCGGGTCCTGAAAGTTGCATTCCAGTTATTTTCCCTTTTTGTCGTGACACCGTTCTGCGGTGTCTGCAGCTGTGGTGTCTGCACCCCGTTCGCGGCCCCCTTCGACCTGAACAACTGTAGTCTAAAATCCTTATAGCAACGGTTGTTTGCAAAGAAACATTAAAACAATGGTGGGCCAGGACTCTCAGGATTCACCAACAAACCGTTTGGCCGCCCCAAGCTTCAGTGCCTTGTGCTCACCACCGGCCAACTTCATGATGGCACCCTGCCCACCACGGATCAACAGCAGCTTCGCTAGGTACCAGCCACATCGAGGCTCCTCGGCCTGTGAATCATGGTAAATGTCAGGAGTTGCCGCAGCCTTTTGATTGCACTGAGAAAGTTGGGGGAGATATGGGAAGGTGCGTCGTTTCTTTTTAGCAAACTTTTGTAGCCTGGATTGAGCTTTTCACGTGAAATTCTGGTGCGTTTGGTTTGACATCAGCCATGGGGCCATTGAACATGAAGGCATTGAAACAACAAACAATCACGGCGACCACATTTCAATATGTTACTGTCACGTCCGGGGTGGATCTCGCGCGTCCGTGCGAGCAAGAGCGCCAGACCTCCTCCTCGTCCGGCAGCCTCGGGAGACAGAGTTTTGCCCGCTTCAGGTAGCCAGCAAGTGATTGATTTGGGCACAGTAGATTCGAATCACTCTCATGGTGAGTCATGATGGTCAACAAGGGCTCTGGTGACTGAGTTGCAAATCATGTAAGTTACTTGGCCCCAACATCCTCATCATCATGCAGCCACAATCATGAGATGCGGCAGTAGGGACCAACCTGCAGAAAGCTTTTCCAACTGACACCTGTCTAGGGAAACCAACTTCCTGGTTGATATCCGGTAGGGTGGAGGTCACTTGACCCTGTAGACGGTCTCTAAAGGGCTCCAATTTTCTGTCACCCCCCACCACACACAGGGTGTCCTGCAGCTGTTCACCTTAAAGCCAATTCATTGCTGGTTCAGGGAACCCATCGACCAAGGAACTCATTTGCCATCCTTTTCGCGAGCGCGAGCAGCGAGCCGCGAGCCCATCGCTCGCCGCGAGTTGAGACTTCGAGTTCAGCTCGTTGGACCACGGTGATATCATCTGCAAAGTGTGGTAAGCTATGATGTTCAGAAGATATTTCAGTCCCTGAGGATACCGGATGGGAGTTTGCGGAGCATTCCCTTTTCTGATCCAATTTTTTCATAGCCAGCCAGGTCTGGACCAGTATTCTTGTCCTCTATAGAGTCTGTGGTGGCCTGGCTTCCAATCTGAAGACCGGTTGTTCAAAAGAAACATTGAAGCATCCATGGTTTTTGAAGGATGCCTGACACGCTTCACCACGAAAGAGTTGGCTGCGTCTCTCTTGAGCCTGGCATCGTCTCTCTCATGGCCCCAGCTGCGTGAGTCAATGGCCTGTCAGATGGAAAGAAGCTATGCAGGCTATGCCCTCACAGGTGCAATGCCCTTAAGTTTTCAATCCTTGGGGCTCTATGAAGGGCTCTGGCCACAACCTCTCGCTCAGCGGCTGCCCCTGCCACAAACTCTCGAAACCGCAACTGCCATCGATGCTTGGTGGTGTCAAGTCACTGGGTCATCACCGTAGTCAGTGGGTTCCATCATCCCAAGTCATTCAAGGTTGAACATGACACCATGATGCCAACACCCAGTGGCAGTTGGGCAGTTGAGCTAGGATCATTCTCAGGGCATGCTTTTGGGACCCTTTAAAAGGGTCTGGCTATGTCTGGCTCCAAGCCGCCGTGGGTTTCAACTGGAGAACGAAGCAAACAACATGAGTCAGTGAGTCAAAAAGAACATCCCAAGATATGATAAGGTACTAACTATATATAACTATAAACTGGAAAGGTATCTGAAACTACCAGTCAGTCGCCTGTTTCATGGCAGTTCTTTGCAACCAAAGGGGCCTTATGAGTCGGTACCTGTCGGTACCGGTGATGTGCCAAGAGTTCCAGATACAGGCGGCGACAGGAACCATGGTACCACCATGGCACCAGTGATTCCGATCTCGACATGATCTTCATCTTTCTGCTTTCCCTCGCTCTTTTGGAAGCACGCAGAAGGTCCTCGCCATCTTTTGAAATGGACTCCTCCCAGTACACTCGAAAGGAGAAAGAATGGGGACTCTGTCTGAGGGCGCTTCTCTTCACATGTTGCAACAAGGCGGCCCTCACCATGACAAATCGCTGTAACATGGGTATAAAAAAACAACAACAACTATCATTCAAAGACCAACACCATCTTGGAGTCTTCATGTTTCTGAGACGCTGCCCAGCTCCCTGCGCGCTGCGTGGTGTTCGGGGCACCAGCGCAGAATCAATTGCGACCTTGTGGGCCAAGCAATTGCTAAAGATCTTCAAATTATCATGCATGCCTTCCAGCATCGAATTCAAGCACCATCAGGTTTTCTTTCAGATGATCCGTAGGATGATGCATACAAACTTGCACAGGTAACCCTGCACACTTCGAATTAGTATGAATTAGCTCTCTGGCACCTCTTCAGACGCTGACGCGACACCCTCCGTGGCCTTTTTCGCTGTGGCGGCCCCACGGATCCGCTCCACGAGCGTCACCAGTTTGGCCTCGGCGGCCTCAGCGACACACGCAGGCCTCCCATCCCTGGTGGCCTGGTGCCTCAAAGGTGGAGCCAGTTGACTGTTCGAGGTTTTGCCATGTCTCAAGACGTTTCTACGTGACTGCAGCTGCAGTATTACCTGCGCCCTGGTTCTTCAAAGTGAGTGGCCTCCTTCAATAAGTGACCGAACTTGACCCCCCTGGTTTGAGGTCACTTGGACCTATCAAATTGGTTATTTGTTTCACTCCAAAAGGTCACCGAAAGAGTGAGTGATCAAACAAAACCTGCTCCACAGGGTCACAAAGCATCTCGTTTTTCACGAGGAGCATGTGCTCTGAGGATGTGCTGAGCATGTGCTCTGAGGATGTTACCTTGCAATCCTCTTTTTATAATTGAATTAAGAATTATAATTCAAGAATAGAAAGCGCTGCTTACACAATGTGCTGCATCATTTCAAGGCATGGGCTGGCTTTGCTTGGATTGTCATGCGGATTGTGATGCGGGTTGTCGATTTTCGGATTCAAGTCCATCCGTCCATCCATCCATCCATCCATCCTTCCTTCCTTCCTTCCTTCATGCGTTTTTGACCGTTTTTGTTTTCTCTTGAAGCGTCTCCCCACTTTGAAGAAGCTGGAAGAGGTGAATTTGCTGATTCAGAACCGGAACCAAAATAAAACACCTTCCCCAGTTACCAAGTTCGTGAGAAACATAAAACACATTCGGAAGCTGGGTGCGACCCTCACCATCCCTCAACCCCCAAAAAGCTCGAAGCCAGATCTTTAAAAAAAATCCGTCTCTCTCTCTCTCTCTCTTTCTCAAGATTCTTTCGAGTCCCTTCCACCACCAGCTCTCGGTTTGCCCTCACTTCGAGTCCTTCCGCCTCCCACGCGGACGCAGTGGACGGCCTCAGCTCGCTCCACCTGGAGCTGAAGTTGCTGCTGGGCCTCCTGGACAGTGCCACGTGCAGCTGCCACGTGCCAGATTGTATATATTACCCGTAGAAGTCGTGGCCCACCATTGTTTTAATAGCCTGCAATCCCGAACAGCCATTGTTTCCCTAAGGGTTTTACACTACAAAACCAAATCAACCATGTTTAAAATGGCCGACTGGACTTCCAGGGTTACCGGCCAAGTGGCCATCCGGTCGAAATACCATGCTTCAGATCTCGATCATTGAGGAGGCCAACATCGGAGTTTCAAGGCGTGAAAGGATCATTGGACCATGCTACCTACTACTACAAGTAGTACCAAGGACGCTACTAGGGGGAGGCCATCGCTACTAGGGGGAGGCATCGGTATGATGTTGGAGGCCATCGCGACTAGCTAACAAGGACGCTATCAGGGACAAGCCGGTGGATCGTTGGAGCATGAATCACTTCCATGTAAAGAACCGAGACTGGGTGACAGTGCCAACCGACTTGAGCTACTCGATCGATGGCAGTGCAGTGCTTCTCGAAATCCTGGTCTCCCAAAAAGCTGCGGGCATCTCCTTGCGCCCTGGTTCTTCACAATGTGACCTCTTGAAATTTTGGGATATCCGGGTATTTGAGGGTCACACTTGACTTGGGCCTGTAAAAATCACTTATACCAGGACCTTCCAACAGGTGGTTTTGGGACACCCCTTAACCTCTTAAGAGGCTGTGAATAGACACCTCTTGGAATAGACACCTCTTATATAGGGACTCCTAAAAGGCCACCAACTGAAAAAACGCCCGGACTTCCACAGCAAACAGAGTTGTTTTGCACGGTGACTGTGATTAAGTGGAGGAAGTCACCCTGGACGTTGGACCGGCTCTTGATCCTCCAACAAGTGACTGGTCCATCTCCCGGCTTTGGGCTTTGGCTGCTGGTTCCGCCGTCCAAGCTTCACTTACATGCCAATGAAACACCGCAATTGATGTTTGGTTGATTGAAGCCGACTTTACCCTAGGCTTCCAACAACCATTAATTTAATAGGCTTTACCGAATCAACTAAGGATTTCACATTACAAAAACCAGGTCAACCATTTTCTTAATGGTCTTGGAACTCTAGGGTTTAAGGATGAACACACCGAGAAAACCTGTGTATCTTGATGTTCGGCTCCTTGCTCCATAGATTCACTTGCCTTTGGCTGATCAAACACCACACAACACTTCCTCTTCCCCTTAGCTGCTTCAAGTTCGAGATCTCGCAATCAAAATATCAACTAACTTGAGTGATCCTAAGCACTCCCAGGCATTGAATCACGCGCGTGGGCGGGGGCGTGCAGTGGGGGCGCACAACGGCAGGCCCTCCTCTTGCCCTTTCATTGCGCTGGCCAATTGCTCTTTCAGCTCCAGCACCTGCCCACGAGGCCAGGCAGGCCAGGCAGCGATGAGGTTCGGCTTGGACCAGAACTGGAGGATTTGTTCTCCCTGCTTTTCTCTTGGAGAAGACAGGCGGTTGAATATAGGTGGTGCTGGCATTTTCATCCTATTTGAGGTCTATTCTCAGGACTTGGCACCAGCACCATCCACTTGGCCGGATTTTCGTTGGGACCTTAGGGTGCAAGTACCTGTCATCCTCCAAAGGTTTGGAACACCATCACGAGGTTCGTAGACCTTTCGTTTTTAAATGGATTTAGTGACAGAAGCACGCTTTGGAGGAAATTCATGCGCGAAGCACATGGAGCCAGTTTGGGGGGGGCCAGGCTGATCAGCTACCTGGACGCTACCTGGACCCTCGGGGTCTCAAATGAAATCCTTGTGGGTAGTCTATAGGGTTCTTCAACCTCTGCTGGTGGTTTTGACCAGATGTCAGCTTTTCCAGTCGGTCTACGAAGGTACCAGCTCTGCCTGGCCACAGGTTGTAGCGGAGGCACGAGGCCGTCGCCGGATGCACGGATCGCCTCTGCTTGGGCAGCTTCTTCAAAGCCCGCCTGGAGCGGAGGTCCGGGCTGCAGGGAATGCTCCGTGGGCCCGGTGGGTCACTTATAGTATGTGAACCCCAGGTTTTCCATGACCCCGACACGATAATATGGGACTGGAGATGCGAAACGGCCAGGGGTGGTGGTGCCAAGGGGGTCCATGGGGCGGCAGTCCGGCCAGGCAGTCCCATTCGTCGCGTCTGGGTGAGGTCGGTGAAGCCAAGTGGATCACGGTGAAATCGTTTTCGCGATACATCAGTTCTTGGAAGCGTCTCCTGGACGTCTGGATGCGTGGAGGCGCCTTCGCCGTTCGCCCTTCACCCAACGGTCACTAAATCACTTCCATCCTTCTTTACTGAAATCATCATGCTTGTGCACTCGCAGGGAAATCAGATGGAAGTTAGTATGGAAGTTTCACCACCCCCCTGTAGATCCCTCAGGCTTCATTCCCTCTCTTCAAGTCACCAGTCAAGTCACCAGCCTGGAACCCAGTCCCAACCAGAAAGTCATGGTTGTTCCAATATGGCAAATATACCAGCAAAGGTGGGTCAGAACCCTATAGACTATCCTATAGGTACTCCTGGTGACGGGTCCTAGTTCAGGTCACTCAACCTCTGTAGGTATGGCAACCATGATTCTTTACATAGGAACTGGCTGGGACTGGGGAAACGGCAAGTGGACGCCGGAAGTCCAGGTCCCCGACCCACTCCGGAGGACAGGCACCCGGGCCCGAATCGGCCGGTTATCGGCGATGATGAGAGACTGGTTAGTAACGTGTGTGTGGTGTTGAAGCGAAATGGGACAAACCGACCATATGAGCATCCATGCTTTTTTCCATCCTCTACCAACACATGGACGAAGTCCACTTCCATGGACGAAGTGACTCGAAGTGTATTGATCACACTGCAGTGGGAGCTCGGGTATGCTCGGGTGCCGAGTGTTTCTGAATGATGGCCCCACGGCCGTGCAATCTGCTGAGAGTCCAGCTTGCGCTACCGGCCTTGCCCATTCCAACATCTTCCGAACTGCCAACAAAGGTTAAGTAACCTTATAGGACCCTACTGGGGTACCTCTAGGATAGTCTATAGGGACTTCTATAGGGTTCTTCAATTCTTCAACCTCTGCTGGTGCATATGTCTGGTTTGTTCCATCTCCCCCACATCGGCCCCACAAAGCCCAGGAGATGTAGCATTTTTCATGGCAAGGTTCTCCAATTCGATTCTCCTGCACCTCACTTCCCCAACAAACACCGAGAGCGGTCCTGGTTTGCTCGCGCGGTCTCGGCAGCCTGAAGGATGGAAGAGAAGGGAATAGATGAAACATCAAAGGAACAACCTGCAGTGTTCCTTGCATATGCTTTCATTCGACGTAGGTCACCCTGGATTCCGCTGTCACAAAGTTGGAAATCGTTCTTCCCATTTTGCACCAAACCGAGCAAGCCCCTTGGCATGCATGGATTTTGTACAAGTTCCACGGTGTTCGGATCCCATTGGGCTAAATCATGATGGTCAAACATGACAGGGCAAGCTCAACACGCGCCCGTACTCGTCCAGTCCTCTTTTGGTGGGGAAGAGGCATCGGAAAATCTGGAACCTCTTGACCGCTGTGGTGCTTTCGAATTGCTCGATGGGATGCTTTTCCCGAATCCCGAGCCGTTTCGCTGGAACAAAGTGGGCTATAAACTTCCAATTGTGGAACCCATGGGGGGCAAAAAAAAAGGCTTGGCACCACCATCGAAGGGGTGTCCAATGAACTACCCCACACTACCAACAAAAATCTTCCATTGGGCACCCCTTGGATGGGTCCTCACAGGTGATCCGCGGACTTGCGGGCTGGCAGGTGATCCTTCTCTCAGGTCCAGGTTCACTGCGCCTCGGCTCGCTCGACCTCAAGCTGTCGCTGAGCCTCCTGCGTGCAAAGCGGTCTGGGCGAGGAGGACTCGAGATTGGACAAAAAACACCTCGAGACAACCATGTTGAAGTATGTCGCGAAATACAAACTGAGTGGGCCTAGTTCAATTCGAAACCAATCGCCTCCGTTTTTCCAGCACGAAAGCAGGGAAGACCGCGCTTCACTGCCGGCCCTCCTCCTGCGCTTTCACCGTGCTGGCCAGTTGTTCTTTGAGCTCGGCGACCTTGCTGTTTTCGGCGACGGACGATCTGGGCGACTGACGTTGGGTCATGAAAGTTCAGATGGTTTCCGTTGGAATTCCATGCATGGTCATTTTCATGTTAGGACCCTCGAAAGCTTGGGAATCCGAAGGTTCTAAAGGTTGAGCGTCCTCCGAATTTGGGTCAGCCAAACGCCCCGCTATGCCGCTATGCCCCACTGCTTTCCCATGCTTTTCCCACTGCTTTAGATGCCCCACCCTCGCATCCTAGCACCTTATGATACCTTATGTCTTCCTTTGGCATCCCTTCGAGAAAGTGCTCGGAGACTTCGTTCTCAAGATTTCAGGAGCAGCTGAAGCTTTCGACACGTCTCCACCCGCTTTCGTCTCCACCCGCGGCTGGAACCTTCCCCAGACCTCCCGCATCCAAAGACGACCAATGAGACTGGCATATTTACCTACTACCATTATTACCTACAGTAGCGCTGTTTGAGGGGTCAATTGATTGATCGGCATCTATTCTAGTCCCATTGGTGGTGTTTGGGTATGTCATTCTTCCTCTCCGAAATCCTATCACCCACGCCCCCTCCATGGCCTCCGCAGAGACTTCCTCCGGCTCAACCGGCTCAAAGCCATGCCGTTGCACCTGTGCCGGAATAGGTGATCTGCGATCAAAACCAACCTGGTTCTGCCTGCTGGGGTCAAAAGTGGGAATGGGTTCGCGCCAATGGTCCGTCACTGGCATCTGCGGCCTGCTATAGCTATAGCAGCTAGCTGCTAGCCTCCGCCTGGTGTCTGTCAGCTAGCCTCCGCCCTGGTCAAATCTGTAAGAATCAAGGTTGAAGGGTTGAAGAACCCTACATAGACTATTCCATAGGTACCCCTTGGAATCTCCCGGTTACGGGTCCCATTTACGGTCACTTAACCTCTGTTGGAAGGACTCTGCAGGGATCGTCCATGATCAATCCAGCTTCGAGGAGTCGTCGGAAGAGCGCCTCCTCCAAGTTCCTCTTGGCCGCTGCAAGCTCATCATCCTGAGCGGGATTCCCACCGTGGCAAACAAACCGAATCTAAGTGGGAAAATGGGGGAAATATAAGCTACAAACTGCAGGTCAGCTCTTGGAACACCTCATGGATCTTTTTGATGCATGTCAAATTTGCCTTTCTTTCTCTTACTTTTGGAGTGGAATCATCTTAAATGGCCTGTCGGATTTTCACTTGTTTGTGAAACTGGCTTCGGCCAAACAACACATACCAGATTTAAGAGAAGCTTGACCTGGTTTTGTAGTTTAAAATCCGTCACACAATATCAAAGCTGGTTCAGTGAAAAACCCTTAACTCAATGGTGGGCCCGCCGAGCCTAGGGATCCAAAACAAACGGACTGTCCGTCCAACAGCATCCGATACCATGAGCTCCCCCGACCTTCGAGTCCAAATCGATCTCCAGCTGCGTCACCTGAGTCACGGCCCACGGCATGTCACGGCCTGTCACTGATGATTCTGATCTGCCACGGATGCATGGCGAGCTTCGCGTGGCGAGAAGGCGCGAAATGCCTGGGGTGCCAGCATATCGCTGCAAGGCCTGCACTGCTGCGACATGATGTCGTCCCTGCCAAGTCAGTGAGTGCTCGGCCGAATGCGCGACGGGGCTGGGAGAGGGAGTGGCAAGGGTATTGTAGAATGTTGTAGCTTTGTGCTATGATGTGCTAGGGAATGTCAATGAATGTCAGCTGTGGGTGGCAATCCTCAAGCGGCTTGTCTGACTGAGGAAGTGCACTGCCAACCAGTTCCCTCAGTGGCTGAAGTTGGATCCTGCTCCATCTGGGAATGTATATAGATGCAGAACTGAAAGTACTTGACCAGCCTAGCTGTTGTACCCAAAGAATCCCCATCCGAACATCTCCACAAGGAGGGTGATTGGGTCTCTCTCGGACATCTACTCAAAACCCGCCCCCGCGACTTTCGCCTGATCATCTCTGGCACGAACGAGCATCTTGAGCTGCGCAATGCTTGCACCAAACATGTCTGGCCCAAGCCTCGGTTCTAGCGAACGGTCCTGGGGTCCAGTCCGCATGAGCCTAGTTACATGGGCTGTTTGCAAGAACCCAAAGAAAGCCAACCCCTCTGTGTCAATGCAAAATCGGCCTGTAACCCCTCCAATCCATAGCACACATCTTCTCCTGGGCAGTAATTTTTGCATGCCTCCTGAACGGGGTGAAGTAGAAGTCCAGTTCAGTTCGACTATTTTTGGCACCACTCGAGTAAAGGAAACTCTGAACTTCGGGTAACTTCGGGTCATCCAAAAACCTACCATGGTTAACATATTTTTTAACATAGTCGCTTGGATGACCCGAAACCCACCAGTCGTAGATGTTAAGATTTCTCCAAGTCATCGTCGCCCGAACCCCTTCCGAGAAGAGGACCGGAACCCAGAACCCTCCGGACTGCACCACAAGAAAAAGCACCACAATCAAGCATGCCCATCCATGGCCCAAAGCAATGCAAAGTAACACTCCCAACAAGTTGTTTGGGTTGCGTAATCAAATCATGTCAAACATAGTAATCTGTTGGAACGCTTGGGCTCTGCCTAAGCTACAGTAGAATGTATCTTGGCACATCTTGGCTACCCCGCAAGCACTTCCCAGTGATGGTGTGTGTCGTGTGTGTCGTGTGTGTCGTGTAGACCCTTGATTCACTAAATCCCCCATGTACATGGATTGCATGGATTGCAAAAAGAACTCAAAACATGGGGAAGTTGAAATCATCAATCACTGTCACCCCCCCCACTACTTTGGATGGAACCATCTTGAACCATTTCTCCGATGGGCGGGGTATGCGACGTGCCGAGCCGGGCGTCCCAGGCTCTGGAACCGGTCGGATGCCCCAGTGCCGTAAGGCCTGGAGGCGGCCGCATGGGGGGTTGGCGACTCTGCGGCTGTCTGGACCGCTGCCTTGAAATCCACTGTTTAAAGGGGGAAAACACATGGGTGTTCACATGGAAACCCCGATCGTTTCAGGGGTGAAAACCCATTTCATTTCCTCCAGTTCCCCTTTCACCAATCCATTGAGTGGGCGGCTGCGGCGGCCCTGCGGCTTTGTCTAACCTAGAGGGATCGATGGTGCTGGGAAATGATCCAACCCACAGGCGACCCGTTCGGCCCCGAAGCAACTGCTACATGTTGCTTCGGTCCAGTTCACCTGAGGGTCCAGGGGCCGGGTCCTTCGGGTCCTTTCTGAGCCTTTGGGAAGCATTTACCACATGGCCACTGGACTTCTTGGACACCTCTGGGCACCAGCGGCCCACCCATAACCACCAGCGGCGGTGCCGATGGGCCGAAGAAGCACCCAACATGAATACAAAGCTCTTTTCCCCGTGGCCAGGTCATCCTCTCTCGCATCTAATAAATATATGTAATACAAACTTTTGTACTCGTTTGGGGAGCCCTTGGACGTCCGTAGACTGCGCGAACAGTGTGCAAGTCCCAAGCAGATCAGCAGATCAGGGGACCCTGCTGACCACGGAGTCCAAGCGAGTCCACTCGAAACCTGACCACTGTCCACTCGCTTCAGGGTCCATCGATTTCGCATTCGGCGCATCATCCACCCCCCCCACACAGGGGATGGGAGGACTATGCACAATGATATATATTATAGGTACATAAGTACGTATCGTCATTCACATTTCCAGTTTATGTTGAGCTTGTTGCTGCTGCTGTTGTTGTTGTTGCTGCTGCTGCTGCTGCTATACTGCTGATGATGATGAGCAAGGCTCTTCTGTTGAAGATTCATTTCCAAAGTGCTAAAACATGTAGAGTGTCTCCATGACTATTGGTTTCCTATCACATAGATGTGAATCTCTTGGCCACGTGTCTACTCAAAAATCCCAAGGCCAATGATTTTCCAGGTCTGAAGTGCTTAGCATCTGTGCATCTATTTCATCCTGCAGTGCTCCTGGATATCACGAGCTCTTGCTGTGATCCCCCCTCACCCCGCACACCAAAGAGATCATTTTTTGGGCCGGGCGCTTGGACCAAAGGAGACAGCTCGCTGTCTTCCGCTGCCTGAGTGACATCAGCGCAGCGCAGCGCTGAACTCGTGCAACCGGTGGGCTCCCAACTTTCACATGGACATCTGGCCAACGAGAGGAAACAACGTTGCAGGGTGATCTTGTGCACACCAAGAGAGGTAGCCAGTGACCTTGAAACAGGACCCGGAGAACCTGGCGTACCTATGGTATAGTCTATAGGGTTCTTCAACCTCTGTTGGCATGGGTCGGGATGTTCCATGATGGGTAACATTCCTCCTCACAGTGGGTCGTCATGCCAATGGCATGCCAATGGCATAGCTGGCAAGTGCCTAGGGGAGATCCCTGTAGCTCCTTCACTCCATCTTTGACAGGACACATGGATAGCCTCAGCTCCGCTCTCTCCTCACCAACATTCACCAATTATATATATATATATAATGCAGACTCTTGATCCGTAAACACCCCCGGGCCCAGCCTGAAGAGGTTGCACGAACATCCATGTCTGCGAGGGTTTTATGAATCAAGTGTCTACATTACCATCCAGGCATACTTTCATACATTGACCCCATGTATGACCCTGGGGTATATAGGTATTTGTTATATAACTATTCAGTAACTATTCCATACATCGAGCGTCTGGGATTCGACACACACACACACACAACCACTTCCCAGCATTCCACTCAGCTTCCAGCAGTTCCCCCTGAAGCTGACCTGGCTCGCTTTGGGTGCCAGTCACGTCTATTGATTTACGGCGAACAAACCCAGCACGACGGTGGACGGTGCCGCATGCAGACCTGCAGAAGGGGATCCAAGTTACCCCTGAGAGTCCAGTCGAAGCAGTCGAAGTGGACTTCTAGGGTGGTCGCAATTTGCCGGATCATGCTTGGTCACCAGCAAGCAAAGTGGAAGTCTAAGTCAGCCTTTGGAGAGTTGGTCATGGAGTGAAGGGGGCATGCTGCGGCATCGAATGCGCTGGAACACCCGGCCTTGGAACCCTGCTGCGAAAAACGGTCGCCAAGCTGCTCAACGGTCGCAATGGCTTTGATTCGACCAGACATGGCTTTCCAACACTGGTCCTCCAGACTAGATTTCATCCTTGCTTTTCATTTCTTGCTTGATGACATAGGCCTATCCTTGATGAATAGATATGAATAGGTTGTCATCCTAACCTCTTTGTCTCCCAGCCTAACTATCTCGCAGCCGATCTTGACAGGTTGTATCAATGCTCAGCCCTTCCATCCACAGCTTCTCCCCCCAGCCCTGAGCTCGGCACCTGCGCATGACCGAGCTTGGTAGCGGTGGCCGTGCAGACCATCCCTGGACCGGACATAGCCGCACGGTCCGGGCTGTTGGAGAACAGGCGAAACCAAACCAAACTCGCCCCGAGCATTCCGACAGTCCGGATGAATCCAAGGATTTTCAGTCTCAACCTTTTCCAGGAAACACCTCTGAAGAGGTCGGGATTCTTGAGGGTTTTGCCCAATTCCTGAAGGTCCGTGCGTTCTGTAAAATTGCTGAAACACGCGTAGGAAGTGGATGGCATGGTCCACTGAAATGGATAGGCAGGCTGAATCCTACACAAGCATGGCTTTCCCTGGAAGTGGGGGCTTCTTGAGCAACACGAATTGGCTAAAAAGGGTTCCAACATCTCCATGGTCCAGTGGCCAAACCCGGTCCCAGCTGGCGCAACTGGGTGATGTTCCGGTCGAGCTTGACTGAAGCACCAAGAATTTTCTGCACTTGCGCCAGTGAAGGCCAACCACCTCGGAAGGCCAATCGCCTTTTGTTCATTATACACTCCCTGGAACTAACATGGAAGTGGAGAATGACCCCTTGGAAGACAATTTTCCAATACAAACAGGTAACCATGTTACTTCTAGGGAGTGTACGTTCATCGTTCTCGCCAAGTATGCATGAGAAAATCCATCACCAAGCTCTTCGCAACTCATGGTTCTTCGTGCCTCTAAGGAGCCCTTGATTGGGACTTCACAGGTTCATACATCTGCTTGTTCGTGATCTGTTGGAGGGTCTGTAGTTGCTTGGCTGGCTTTTCACATACTTTTGTTGGGTGCTGAGGGGCAAGATCCCTGCACCATAGGAAACATTAGGGAACTGGCTCTGGCCCCTATGCAGGGTTATTGCCCACAACAAAAAGCTGAAGGTGTGTCCTTTTTGATTCGTTCTCACAGGTGGACTCATCCCAGTTTGGAAGGTTTCTTGGGTCGGCCATTTTTCGAACTCCGCAGCTGCACGGATCAGCCAATCAAGCAGTCGTGCCGCACGGCGGATAGGGTTGTGGCACCAGGATATGAAGAAGAGAATCCCAGGATATACCTTGGTGTTTCTCCAACCTGGAAGGTCTTGCACTACATGGTGCACGGGTCGGGCTCAAAGGGTTTGACCCATCCCCACATGGTGGATGCCGGGCACGCCTCTGTCTGGGTCTGCAAGCGCCGCTCTTGGAGCTCTAGCTGATGAAGCTGCTGCTGTAGCTCCTGGCAGCTTGATGCCAGCTGAGGGAGTGGTGGTGTTCTTGCGCGTCAACACCACACAGCAACCCCGTTTTCCCAGTCTTGCTTTCTTTCAGTTCAGTTCAGTTCAGTTTAGTTCAGTTCACTATAGTAAGTTTAGTTTAGGTTTGTTTGCTTGTTTGTTTGTTTTTGTTTGTTTGTTTTTGTTTTTGTTTGATTGTTTTTGTTTGTTTTTTTTTTTGTTTGATTGTTTTTGTTTGATTGTTTTTGTTTGTTTGTCTTTGTTTGTGTTTTTGTTTGTTTGTTTGTTTGTTTTTGTTTGTTTGTTTGTGCTTGTTTGTTTGTGTTTGTTTGTTTGTTTGTGTTTCTTTGGTTGTGTTTCTTTGGTTGTGTTTCTTTGGTTGTTTGTTTGTTTGTTTGGTTGGTTGTTTGTTTGGTTGTTTGTTTGGTTGTTTGTTTGGTTGGTTGTCTGTTTGTTTGGTTGTTTGTTTGTTTGTTTGGTTGTTTGTTTGGTTGTTTGGTTGGTTGTTTGGTTGTTTGGTTGTTTGGTTGGTTGTTTGTTTGGTTGGTTGGTTGTTTGGTTGGTTGTTTGGTTGGTTGGTTGGTTGGTTGGTTGCTTGCTTGCTTGCTTGCTTGCTTGCTTGCTCTCGTTCTTCAATGCAGGCGAAGAATTGAAGGAGAGATCGTGAGAGAACCTAAGGAACTGTCCAGTCATGTGCAGCACCCAAGGGGATCCCGGCTACCACTATATTGGGGGTTCTAGGTCTATGGCTCTAGCCTACAGAAAGTCTACAGCACCAGCTTTTCCGTGGCAACTGGATCAGGTTTTGTTGATCTTGGGACATTGTGAACCTCATAATTGCTCCAGGGCGCGTCGAACTCCTTTGCAGGATTGTGGGGAAGTGAGGGCCCTCGCTAGACCAATATACACCTGTTGCTGGTGTTCATCATAGCCCATCGGCCACTCTGATCGTTTACATCGAAGAACATGGATTCTTGGGCTGGGCTGCGCAGTCCCACGCTCTTGGGCGGGTTTTGGTCCTCTTTGACACGAACGCATCCCCTGGAGCTTTCCAACACCGTACCCCGCCTGCTGACGCAATTCAGCCTGCAATTCGTGGGGCGAGAAAAGGGAGCGCCTCTAGAGTTGCACCCTCAAAGGGCTCGTGATTAGGACTACAGGTTGTGACCACTTTCTTTGGCCAAAATGAGCAAAGCACGATGGGCCCAATGGCTGTGCCTCCAGCTGCCCCCTCTTTGTTTGAAGCTGGCTCAAGCTCCTGCAAAGAGGGCAGTGACACCCACAGGAGATGAAACAAGGCCTAGTTTTGAGACTGGACTCCTGTTTCAGAGGGAGTTTCTTGACCCTAACTTCAAGTCTGAACATGGAACTCAAACCCAGCTGAAACATACCTCCCAGCAGTCACGTTCGGTAAGGGGTGTGCTCTCCATGGAGGGTGCGGGGTGCTCAGAACATCTATTGGGACGACGAGCCACACCACCCCGAGCTCTGCGACCATACCAACAGAGGTGGGTCAGAACCCAACTGTTCGCCTATCCCCGGCCGTTGGGTACACCAGGTGGCTACCGGGTCCGGTCCGGTCACGGTCACTGGCCACCTCTCTTGGTACATCCAGGGGGGCCCTTGATGGAACGACCCCGTCCTGGAACGACCCCAGCTGGAAGGCGTCTGGCGACGCGTCACGGTCGGGACCCGGGCGCCGTGGAACGCACAGTCTGCCGTTTAGCAAAGAAAACACCGCCGTTTTTTGCCCTGTATGAAGTATTACAGTAAATTAAGGTAATTTCTTATTCTTCTGATCCTCCTCCTCCTCCTGCTTATTCTTTTCTTCATTCTTCTTCTTCTTCTTCTTATTCTAGACATTCCTGCAGAGGTGCAGCACGAAATCCATTGAAATCCATCGAAATCCGGAAAAAACAACCTTCTATCATCATTATCATCCATCCAGCGACCGCCAGCCTTGGTCAAAGCGGTTTGAGGCATCGGAGGAGCCCCCCAACCGGAAGGAACCTGCGAGACATCGAGACAGACTTTCCAGAGAAGACTTTACCTTGCTGCAGTCGTAGAAAAGCCGCGTTGGGCTTGAGCGACCTGTTCTAAAGTTGGACTTGGCTTGGGCATGTCGCCATGCGGCTTCTGCTGAGGGTCAGCGCGCCGCTGAATGTTGGATGAAAATTGGCCAGTGAAGATGGAAACACTGGAATCAATGGATGGCGGAGCATGTTGAAGTCATGCAAATACCGCCAGAATGACCCACTATGGTAGATGCAAGTGGTCCAGAACGGGTGTATATCATCGCCCCGTTTGCTTATGAATCGCACAAATGAATTTACAATCTGCAAACAAATGGCCTTGGCATGCAGCAAAGTCCTCTACAATATTTGCAATGGTCGGAGGGGAACACTGAGATACACTGAGAGTGTGTTCTATACATGAGGATCTGCCCTGGATTTCAAGGAGGCAAGTCCCTGTTGTTCCAAGACAATGCCCGACCTTGTCGTTTTAACAGAATAATGACAGGACTGACCAACGACTCAAGTTAGGCGCTTTCTTTCATGGCACCGCTCAACTAAGCAGTCCCCCACCCTGGTCACACATGGCGAAAAGAGTGCCTGCCACGCATGCGCAGGCATTCAAGTGCCTAGTCTACAAAACGACCTGAGGTCATTCTTTGTCATTCATGACTTACTATGCATTAGCCCGTGGGCTTGGTCGAATTGACCTTCGCGAAAATGGGGCCACCGAGAAGGTCCACCTAAAAACGCCTAAAGCTCAAACTGCACGCTTCGCGATCTCACCGATCGCAGCAAGTCTGCTTGGACATCTTCCTGTGTCACGGCCCTTCCGATGAAGGGTTGCTGTGAAGCTGGAAGCTCATATCGTGGCACCAGGAAAAAGAGGGGAAGCCTCATGATGGCAGCCACCGCATAGATGCACGCGGTGTGACCTGAATGAACCGAGTCACCGGCCGGCCCAACGGCAAGTCACCGGAAAACCGAGTCGGCAAGTCAAGTGGTCCGAGTGGTCGCCCGCAGGGGTTTACCGCGTTCGCGGCAACCTGAGGGAGCCAACGTGATTTTGGACCAGGTGCTGGAGAAGAAGGGGCAAACATTTCAGGCCCCACGGGTGCAGGGACCCTCGTTCTGTAGCTAGGGTTTGAGGGACCGAAGATACATGTAGCAGTTGCTTTCTGTCCAGAATTTTGGTCTCTGGGTGGAAATCATCTCAACGACCTGACCAGTATCTCCAAGTGACAAAGGTCTGTCGGTAGTCATAGGCATCCATCAAGTAACCTCCAATCACTGCTGACCCCGACCACGACATGCTGCTGACGCTCTCAGCAGCATTCCACCGACCGCGCTCGTTGGACGGGACGAAGTCCATCAAGATGGATCCTCGCTTTTCGGGCCGAGGCGGTCTCGGCACCCGGGGCCAATAACAGCGGGTAGTACAGTTGAAAAATAACAATATCCGACACCACTTATTGGGGGTTACGCTGCACCCTGAAAAGTAATAAAAAGAATAAAACGTGTATAGTTGGCTCTGAATGACCAATGACATGTCCTTTGTTAGTTTCAATTCCAATCACCCGGGCGGGCTTCCAGTACTTTGCCAGGAGACCCCCAAAAAACACGCCGCGTTTCGCCCGGCTTGGGAAAGGAGGTGTGTCCCGTGCAGGAGGCTTGAAACTCCCTAGCATCATCTACCCAGGAGACCTTGATGTTACTTCGGTCCCCCAAAACGCTTGGGACTCTCGGAGGAGGCGATGTCAACGAGACGAAGTTGGCTCCAACTCCTGTCCGATATGTCCGGGCTCTGGTCGGGTCCGGGTCAGGTCGATGCGGGTACCGAACACTGCAATTCCGGACACCACAGGGTCATCCGCCCCGCCTGCTCCGGTCTTCGAGCAAAAAAACGAATGCACCGAGAGGCGGTCAATTGGATAGATGGCATTCGCGAAGGCCCCACGAATCACAAAGACCACCAAGACGCTGGGGAGCCATCTGAGGTAGGCCAACAAGAAGAGGCAAACCACCCCCGCCGTCGCAAAAAGGACACCTGCCTGAAACACGAAGCGAGGACGTTCGTGCAGGCTCTTTGGTGCTTTGCCGGTTCATGGACATGAGCACTTTCACAACGACACACCTTTTTCTCACAGGGTCTGCATGCCCCACTAGCAACGGGATAAAAGGGACCCGTTGGACCGTTTTGCTTTCATGTTTTGAGCCATCTGGTGGGCAAACCCCAACAGCACATCAAACTTCCTGCAAATATGATTGATCTCTTCAGGTGTGAGGGCCATTTCTTCCCTTCTTGGGACTCATGTCCTTTCACGAAACCCAGGACCAACGGCTGAACTCGAACCTTTACGCAGGAGCGGTTTCTTCGCTCGCGCGCCTGCACTCGACCCAACTTGGCGGCCGCTTTTTCACAGAGCCAAGTGAAGAAACCAAAGGAGAGGCCGTAGACGGCAAAGAGCAACTGGATCTGTCCAGGATTGAGCCCATAGTCCTGCTTGAAGAAAAGAGGGAAGAACTTCACCGTCATGCCAGCTCCAATGGCGGTCACCACATCCAAGCTACCTAAGCTACTGGCAGTTGGGACCTGCAACTGCCAAGTTATAATTATAGAATGATACTGTGTATACACACACGCACTGTGCATAAATCATAAGACAATTAAACACATACACATTGAACATCATTGAGCTATTCTACATTCGATCGTCAACCACCTTTGCATCCTCACCAAGCAGGGTCACCAATGGCCCACCAATGGCCCACCAATGGCCGGTTGCCTCACATTCACCCCCGGTGGCAGGTTGCAGGTTGCACAAGTGCAGCACCATGCCACAAGTGCAACACCCGACCCGATGGGAACATCACGTGTCTTTCTTCCCATTCACCGTGGTCGGCGCAAAGCGGTTTTGGGCTGGTTTTTAGTTCCAGAACACCTGGAGAATTCCACCCGTGAAAGCCTGGTTAAAAGGAAATCCGAGAAGATCCACCTGAGCCCCGGAACCCCGGAGATCGGGATGAGTGGTGTTCTATCCCGATGGGGCACCGTAGCGGCTAGCGGGGATAGCACTGAAGGGTACCAGATGGCACCATGGCACAACAAAGCTTATCGGCCAAGGGGCAAATCAGCCAGGGGACGACCCTTGCATACTTCAGATTGCTGAAGGCTCCCGATGCTTCTGCTCCACCATCCTTGGTGGAATGGCGGAGTGGCAATGCTTGGAGGATCTTTGGGTAGTCTACCTAGCGCTTTCCCTAGCCTTCCAAGGCCATTAACAAAAAGGCGGACTGAGCTGACCCCGATTTCGGAAGCATATGGCCATAGGCTCTGGTCCAGAAAAATGGACACCTTCTCCGATAAATATGATATAATATTTTACTGATCAGCAGCAGTGATATGATGGACCCTGGGCTGATGATGGAAGCTGGGCTGACATGCCCAGCCAATGCCATGCCTTTGACATGCCTCTTATCTCTTCGTGCTCCTCCAAATCCACGACACAATCAGGCTTAACATCTACAGACCGACCCATCGCATTCGTTATTCAAAGAAGTGAGGGTCAGTTGGGGCATACCCTTTATAAACCCTATTGGTCACTTGCAACAACCTACCAGACCTGGTCGTTCACACCAACCCTACCAGACTCGCACCTTCGGAACCGCGTGGGCGACCGGACCCATCACGGGCCCGAGCTCATGAAGGCACGTGGTTCTTTCTTCTCGGACCGGACCGGACAGTGAAATGAGGTTCGCATATATATATATATACATTGTATATGTGTATATATGTATATATATATCTACAATGGTTATATATATATACAATATAACTATACATATCATATGATCATATTCCAATCTTGCGACACCAATGCACTCCCTGATGCATGACAAGAAGAGCCGTGGATCTCGTTCAGAGATCCGCGGACACAATTCCTGGGATCGAAAAAGAATCTCCGCCAAGAAGCTTCATGTTGAGCATCTTTCAAGTTCACCAAGAAGAGGTTCGCTGGGATCATGCCCAAAAAGCCGATGATCAATACAACGTGAAGCACTGAGAGCTTCCATTGATTCCTTCATCACAAGGACACGACGAGGACACGACGAGGACACGACGGACGAGGTACATCTTTTCACGTTTGGAGTCAAAGAGGTTGGGCCTTATAGGTGTCCAACAACATTTTGCGCAAACATGTAAACCCTAGAAGTTCAAAGACTATATGTTGACCGACTGATGTAAAGGACATTCCTCTTCGTGTCACCTAAAGACCAATCTTTTTATAGTCTTTGACTCCCAGGGTAAAACTGAGGCATGCAAACAGTGGCTCTAATCTGAAATAATACGTGGGATATGTCAAAAGTCGAATGTCAATTCCTTAGGGCCTCAATGCGAAACCCTCTGACCTCAGTCAACTCCACTTCAAACAACCCAAGACCCAAGACCTCCAAAAAAGGCGCATTGGACTTGGATTCATCTAAATCGACCTCCGCCATCCTCTCTCCCTGGAAGTAGAATAAATGGATGAACATGGCACCAACAAGATGACCTGTTGCTGAATACCACACAGGTGGTGCCATCCACGTAACCATGGATTCTTGCGACTGTGCTGTTTGGCACTTTGCCCAAAGATGGGAGGTAGGTGGAGGTGGATGATTCGCAACATCTTCTGACCATATTGTCATATCCCTAGGCTTCCAACAGCAACCATTGTTTTACTGAGGATGTTGCACTACAAAACCAGGTCTGTCCCATTCTTTTCCAACTGAAGGCGAACGGGCCCAGATGGGCCTATAATTATAATCTGATTGGGCTCGTTGCCCCCAAAATCCCCCATCAACTCCCCAATCAAACGATCAAAAAAAACAGGTTGGTGCCAGGATTCCCGAAGTAGCCAAACAAAAAGAGGCTAAAGAAGGGCCCAGCACCATAGCCTAGCTGATTCACAATGCTCACACGTGAGAGCCACTTGGCTCGAGAGCCCTGAGGGATCGAATCAGAATACAAGGCGAAGCTGGCCTCGATTTTGCAGAAACAGGAGTGCAAACGGTTGACATTGGGTGGTTTTGGGATACATGTTGCTTTATGTTGCTTTTGCAGTTGAGGGATGCTTTAGAGGTTTTTGGATCCATGTTAATCAATATGTATGGGCGTCACCATGCGTCACCATGGAGCGTTCGGGATCAAATGACGATTTTGACGACGCTTTTTCAGGCAGAGTGGAGTGGGGATGGGCCTTTCTTGCCTGGCGAATTCACCCCGTACTGACCTTGACCGTTGCAAAAAAGTGCTTCTACTGTACTTGGATTTGCTTAAGAAACTCATATTTCCCGGAAGGAGATTCACAGGGAATTGACAAATCACCTTAAACAAAACCAGGCACACCTAGTGACCTGTTGCGGGACAAGTGCTCAAAAAAGAAACAACACAGAAAGGGAAACACGACGTTTGACGACCATTGATCAGATCAGTGGCTGTGTTCTGCAGTGCTGTGTATGCTCCGAAAATGAACAAGGACACATAGATAATTGGGAAATTGTCAAAGCCGATTCCTGCAATGGAAGCGCCCACAGCCAACACCGACCTCGATTGCTGCAATGTTTGCTTTGTCTTTTCGTGCGATCAAAAACCCAGCATGTTTCATGATGCACCACCGCCATGATTTCCAGGATCGGATTTATGGGTGCATGGTATAGACTGTCACCCTCAGTCAAACGAGTCAAACATGAGAACATGCGAAGTGTACCCACCCTTTCGGCAGACTGAGTGTTGAAACCCAACCAGCTGAAGGTTTGAATACGTGGTCTTTTGTTCATTTCTAGTCCTCTCCCCACTAGCAGTGCAAAGTCGAACTTTCCACTGCCCACAAGACCATTGGATCTAATCCGAGAGGGGCTTGGCCAAAAAGGGTCCCATCTGAACCTCACTTGCAGTGGGAAAGGACAGTCACTGTCATACCAGGTCACATTTCTGGGGCTGAGGAAAACACTAAAAACAACAAAAAGACTCCAATGACATTCGACTTCTTGGGGCATCCAAGAAGGGGGGGAATCCTTCTAAGACCTACTATATTCCATATCATATCAAGAAACCATTCTTTGCTGCAAAATCAGCGGTTTTTCCCAAAAAGAATGAACACCACCACATCATAGCTCTTTGCGTCGCAGCGACAGGTAGGCGCACCATCGCAAGATTTTACTTCTTGACACTGTGTCTGTCAACACGCCCGCCGGCCCGGCCAGAACGATCCTCGAAGAACCGCTCAAAACAAAGGTGAAGCGCGACAGGGGATGGGAAGACCAGGATTCATAATATTATTTTGATTTGCTAAGCTTTGTTCAGGGTATATATATTGATTGATCGTAGGTGGACTTCAAAAACAAATAAACAACAGTGAAACAATCACTTTGTTTACCTTGTCTTTAGGTCTTCGACGACTTGTCGTTTAGTCATGTTGGAAGTGTTAGGAAGTGTTCGAAGGATGACAAAAACAAGCAAATTTCCATCTACTGAGTTCTTTTCATTAAACAAACGAGGGGAACCATCACGCCATGAGCCTCGACCCTCAGTGGATGATGCTTCGTGACCTGAAACGAGATCTCAAAACATCAATGATAAATCTTTAAGCGACTGTTACTGTTACATACTGGGACATACTTCGACACACCCCAACTCAAGCATCTTCAAATCAATTGGAGTAGAACCTGGGATCCTTGAATGTCCTCTTAGTCCTCTCTCAGCTGGGTTCATTCGTCGCCCCACCAGCCTTGCCGACCTGCCCCAGACCTAGTCGGGTACCATCACTCACTCTCTGCCGAGACCTGTGGAACTAGACGAGGTGAGTGAAATGATTTGAAAACTATTTGAAATATGCCATCTGGTGCGGTTCTCTTTGACAAAGCTGCCCAAGGAACCGGGAAAAAGCCTTGAATATCTTGAACCAGCAGGGGATTCACCCACACACGGAAAAACAAGCAAAACCAGGTTGTAAGCTCCCATCCAGCCCAGTAAAGCATCCCGATAAAATCCTATATATAGACCGTAGCGGGTTTTAGCTGCAGCCAGCTGCTCCAACTCCACGGGAGGATATTTTTGTTTCCCTTGATCAACTATACCAGCTGCTTCCTTGTGAAGCCGCCTCACTGGATGACCCCGCGCACGACTGAAAAAGGTCTCTAAACAGGACACTGATATTAAAGGCGACTCTGAATACATGGGAGTTCGCAATTGAACAATGCCAACATTTAAGATTGCTCCACTGATCTCAAATCTTTTGCTTCGGGTGACGCCCCAGCCTTCCTCGCCTTGGTCCTTGGTGCTTCCCGTCTCCTCTTCCCCCGTCACAACTTGAAGGGTCTGAGAAAGACCGGAGATGGACTCGGCCCAGCCCACGGCGGTGTTGGAGTTCCCCGCCATGATGAACAAATAGGTGTCCTCAAACAGAGGCTTCTTTGGGACAGGGATCTTTTCTTCACGAAGGGAGGTTTTTCAGTGATTTCCTGGTTTCCTTATGAGTCAGAGATGACTTGCTGAAAAACGACCCGGCATCATGGGAAGTGAACTGCAAGTGTGTGTCATGCGTGTCTTTTTTCGCGTGTGTGATGGCGCGACACACACGGCGAGGTCATGTATCATTCCTGAGGGTCATTTTTGATGGACTCAGTGGTTGGGTGCAGTGAGTGGAAGAAATGGCCTAGGATGGAACCTGTTGGATGTCATGAGGCTCATGAGGGTCACATCTTTCGTGACTCGGGCGTCCTTGTCGACCTGTTCGTTTTGAGTGGGGAAAACCCCCAAGAAAGGTTCAAGGAGGGTTAACATAGAGCCGGGCTGAGATCTGGGATCTCAAACCAGGGAAAAAGGTTTCCCCTAGCTTGAAGAAACCTGGACCTGTCCCAGGTTGGATGCGTCTCATCAGATCCCTTCACCATAAATAGTGGATGTTGGTTGGGAGGAATCCCTCGTCACGACCTCCAAAAGTCACGAATGGAGTTCCACTGAGTGACTACTAGGACAGTCTGTTGGTTGACCAGGCAAAAGCTCCCAGCAACTCCCTGAATAAAAAGAACATCATGAACATCGTAAAAATACCACAACATATGGAAACCGGCCATGCCAAAAGCATCTTTTCAGAATTTAGATTCCGCATCTAGAATCGGGATTTTGTGTGTGGACATATGATACATGTTCTTCACACCATTGCCATGTAGCTTCATGCGCTCCAAAAGAATAAGACTCGTCACTGTATCCATACGGAGAGAAAAACAACACAACACCACACCTCTTCACCCCCCAAAAGCCCCTCCGTTCCGCGGAACATCCGCGGACCCCGCGCGCACATCGCGACGACGGCGGTGCGATGCTTTCGGCCCAGGTCTCGAAGAGGCCCAGTTGGGCGATCGAAGAAAAGACGGAAAAGATGCCTCGGAGGCACCGGCGCCGGGGCCACCGGTGCACCGGGCCGCTGGTGCGGTGCCGGGGGAGTGACGTCAAGACTTGACTGAAGGAGCTGAACGAGCTGAAAGGCTTGCTATAGTTGCTTGGATTTAGAGGTTTAGAGTGAGTCGGGGGATTGTGGGTCACAGTAGGAACATCGAAGAACAGTTGCCCTGTTACCCGTAATTGTTCGATTTTCAGGATGACTTGATGCACGGGGGAAACGGCAGTTCCCAAGGTTCATGAGTTCAGTTCTACCCACCCTAGAAGAAATTCGATGAACATCGGGGTGGAAGCCCCGGTCTCATGTTCTGCTTTGGTATTAGATATGACCCAAGACATGGCTCCATGACGTTCCATGTTCCATGTATGTTCCATGTATGTCCATCTCTCTGTTTGGATGAGCTGCCATTGTACCAAATCAACTTCCAAACATTTGCCTGCAAGTCCTCTTCAGTGGTCTTCTCAGCTTTTGCCATGGCTCGCCGTGGAACAATTCCACGAAGCTGAAACGGGTCTTTCCCTACGGGTCTTGTGGCCGAGCACTGCAGCTGATGGTCAAATAACATACTCCTGGAATTCCAGTTGGCCATTTTCAAAATGGCTGATCTGGTTTTGTAGTATAAAACTTATAAAACTCTTACTAAAGCAATGGTTGTTCCGTAAAGGCTATGAAATAAATGGTGGTTCGACTTCGGATGCAGTACTCACAGGGTTGGCTGCACCGACACAGGGTTGGCTGCGCAAGTTCTCAGAGATGACTCGCGATCAACAAGGTCTGAGACGAGCGAACGGAATATCTTTGGCCTCTGCTCCAGACTCTACCATACCTGAGCAACGGCTGCAATTGCTGACTTCTAGGTCTACGAGTCCTGCTTCCTTGATGTGCGTTTGTGGGCTTGGCTTTTCTGGTTCTTCGTTCTTTTCTGTTGCTTTCTTCAGTACTATGTCTCTTTCTTCCTCTATCTCTTTCTATCCTTCCCACTTTACTTCACTCAACCTCTTGTACTGCATGAAGGGGAAAGGAAAGCGTGTGGCGCATCCAAAGTGTTGTGTACTGACCAGCAGCCTCTTGTGGCTTTCGTTCACATCACTTGTAAGATCTTGTCTGTAAGCAAACTCATGCTCCAGAAATCTCCAGAAGTTTATGCAAGCAGTTTTCTGGGAGAATGTCAACGAAGCCAAATCTCCTCCCTTCAGAACAGATTTCTGAGGCTGGCACGCTGAGGTTCAGCCCACTCGTCCAGTCGCAGCTCGTCCAGAATGGCTTGAACCTCAAATGGTTTTATAGTTATAACGAAGTCTTGGTGTGGATAATATATACCTCAAATGCTCTGGGGGTACCCAAATCACCGTCACTACATGTCACGACCGATGAGTTGAAGCTGGTGCAAGCTGTTCATCAGCTTCCGGTGCCCACAAATCAAAGCAAAGATTCTTGCTGAAGGCTGAAGGGAGAACGTTTACTTTCATGCATCTCACTGATCATGGTCGCAGGGAGAAGGACCTGGAGATGGACAACAATATTCATAGATTCATATTCCTAGAAACAGATTTGCAACTTTCAGATTCGACCCCGTCGAGAAACAAACACATCCCCTAGAAGTCCAGTTCGCCTATCTTTTGCACCAGCGAAGTGAAGGAACTTCCTGGACTCGGGTCATGGGAAGACGGTTTTTCCAGCGTCTTGGACTCACGTGCTTTGAATGCAGAACACTCCTCGCCACCTTCCACCTTCCGTCCAAACAACCCCAATCGACGTCGATTGCGGCCATCCGAGCGGCCATCCCTTGCGTGGTGGGGGTCGCGTTCAGGAGGACTGGTGGGGTGGAACCCCTAGTGCAGTACTCCATAGGACGTCCCAGTGCAGCACTCCATGAGACGTCGAACATGAGCCGATCCATTGACCCCTTGTTGCCACTCCTGGCCCACTTGATCCGCAGTGACTGCCACTCCCATTGGTGTCTGGGATAGGATGGATGTGGGATTCCCACCATCGAGAAGTTGCCGGTTCTTATTACATCTGATTTTCCCATCGAGAAAACCGCAGCAACTCCTCTTCACGGAAGGCGATGTACCATGAGGTATCTATACCAGCACCCTCCAACAGGTCTCCTCTGGTGGCTTTTGGAGACTTAAAAGTCGCAGGTGGTGACCTGTTGGAAGGTCCGGGTATATAAATATATATGTACCCCGCCTCTGCTGCCACGTTGGTGTCCATATTCATGTTCTCTGCCACGCGCCGAGCGACTAGGGGCCTGTGCCATGGGTGCAATGCATCCAGTGCATGTGCCCTGCAGCGTTTATCATGCTCACATTTCTCCGACCAATGCCCACGTGCCTTGGTTTGGGCCCAGTCCAAGACATGAACGAGCCTCACGTCAGGCTCAAGCACCAGCTAAGCAACGTCCCCAGTCCATTGGCACATCCACGGCACTCGAATTGGATTGAATTTGTGCAAAAGACACTGGAAGCGGTGGATCTTGCAAACAGGTAGCAGCCCATGGAAGCATGGAGAGTTGCCAGGGCCGCCCATTTCATCGCCAGCCTGTGAGACTTCTCAGGGTGGATGGCACAAACGCTATCACCTACGCTGTCACCTCCAGGTTTTAAAATTACTCACAACACATTGATCTTGCAGCGTTGTTGAATCAAGAGTCAGTTAAACAATTGCTTGTAGTTATTCACATTGTTAACTCCTGCTTGGAAATTCCGCACCTCCAACTGCTGGGTCTGGGCACCATCGGGCTCGATGAGGCGGGCATGAACGAGATTTCTTTGTGAAGTGAAAAGGAACCAAGTGATTTGTGGGATGAATCTTGATGGGTACTACTGCCTTCATTATTGACACTCTTTCAAAGGAAGGGTCTTTTCATATCCTTCTTTAAGACTTGGGATCTGATTCTAGGGGATGCTTCTGGGATGCTAACCTGGGTGCGAATCTTGGTCCATCATGGGACTGCAAACTCTCGCTGAGCACTATCACTGCCTCACACTTGCTCTGATCACTGTGATGTGTTGTGCTTAAAGCATCTTAACTGAGGGCCAATCTGATTTTCCATGCGCAAGCGCGACAACACTTCATTCGATTTCTCGGCTTTCTCCAGGTCAATGATCCAAACGTGATGATCCACAACCCCAATGTGTATATATATATATGGTTGTCTCTCTCTCTCTCTATATATATTTAAATACTGTAGCATTAATTGTATAGATTATATGAGGTGTGTCGAGACTTGCTGAGAAAACTTGAACACCAAACGAGTCTCTAATCCCGACACAGTACCATCTCAACAAACAGCAGGAAGGGTCCCGAATCGATTCGGAACCGTTTGTTCAGAACCGAAACCTCGTGAATGTCAAGAACCGAAATTTTTCATCAACCGAATCATTACAACCGTCAATTATCCCATCACAACCGAACCGGAAAAAATTACGAACCGGAATTCCCCCCTGCTCCGAGATCCGCAACGTTTCTTCGAGGGCTGTCCGAGGTCACAGAAGCATTTGCACATTGGCGTGCCCAAACAACATGTCACTGGCGCGGCCCGGCTTCAAGCGCGGGCGGCGCCTGGTGATGAACAAACCGGCTTTCGAGAAAAGCCGTTCCAAAGCTGCGCTGGAGCCAGGCACTCCAAGAGCCGCTTGCGCAAACTGGGCGAGCACTGGCATCTGTCCTTCATGGCTGCGCCACCAAGACAAAGGGCTTTCTCCTGTGACATTCAGGCGCTCATAGTGCAACATCTCAGCTTCCACTTGCTTGCGAACCTTGCTGCAGTGAGTCAACTACAAATATTCTTTTTCTTTCTGGTTAAAAAAGCATTTAAGGAAGGTGGAGTCATCGGTGGCTTTCGTGTGAAAATGCTTTTTTTGGACAATGGAAAACGCATTTTGCCCCGAAAGATGATTAACGACGACGCGGGAAATGCTGAAAGCGCTGACCCAGTGACTTCCTTCAGGTCATCGAGCACAGCCACCTCAGCTGCAGGACGCCGGTCAGGCTGTGGTCCAAACAGCCAGTCTTCAGCACTAGTGCGCTCTTTGAGCGCGCGAGGACCGGGCTGCAGCCTCACTGCAGGACCCGATGCGGCTGCGCAGGCAGAGTCTCGCAAAATAGCTTCACTGGTAGATTTAGGTTTCTCTTGCCGCCCTGCTCCCCTTCCACGACCACGACCTCTGCCTCTTGTCTTCTTTGGCTCCGGGCGCCCCAAGGTCTCAAGCTTGTGATTCATAGGATCTTCTGCTGCTTTCCTCAATCTTTCCCGAAGTTCTGGGTACTTCTCGTGTGATTCCACAACCATTTTGCAAATCATCTCCTTCACTTCCTTCTTGCTCATTTTCTCCCACATGCTGTGGCCTCGAAATCGAGGATCAACATAGCTGGCGGCCAGAAGCCATGCCTCCCCAGTAGTTCCTTGAAAGTGCTTCTCTCTGACCTTGTTCAAGTCTTGGTGCAAAAAGCGAAGCAAGTGCTTTGGTAGCACCTCCAACTCGCGAGCTTTGCAGCCCTGGCCATGCATCTCACGAAGCTCTCTCGGGTAAGGCAGCTGCGCTGACCCAGTGACCTCTAGGGTCTCCATGCACTTGTGGAAGACCGGAAGGTAAAGAGAAGCTAGCGCTTTGTCATCCCCTTCCAAGAGTTTGGTTCCTAAGCGAAAAGGCTCCAGAACAGCACAGAACTGGAGAGCAACCCGCAGCTCACTCCTGTCGAGCTCGTGGGGCATGTCGGCAACATTGGGACGACGAGTCCTGTCAGGGATGGTAAATGCATTTTTGGGTGGAATGCAAACGCATTTTGGCAATTTTCTCTACAAGTGAAACCAGCGTGGAATGGAAACGCATGTTTGATTTTCTCAGAACAGAACCTCAGCAATGCGTGAGCTGCATTGTTGCGGATGACAGAAACAATCTGCAGCAGGGCGGAGCTCCAACGTGTTGGGGTTTCATGCTGGTAGGCAACGCAAGGCACTTCGGCTTGTGCAGCTGCTGAGTACATTTCATTGTACATGTCATCGTGGGAAGCAAAGTATCGCACAATCGACCGGTACCTGCTGAACGACTCCTTCAGCTTTGCCTTGCACTCCACAGAGGCGGGGTCGCCCTTGGGCCCTTTCACACCACCAGGCGCCATGGGTGCCTTCTTCTCAGCCACCTCTGCTTCAGAAGACGAACTGCTCGAAGAAGACGAGCTTTCATCAGAAGTGTCTGATGAGGAAGAGTCCGAATCCAATTTGGCAGCGGCAGACTTCCTCTTTTTGGTCCTTTCTTTCAGATCTGGCAAAGCGTGCTTGCAGCATAGCTGCAAACAATGACATCCACACCCTATCAGGGGCGCACCGAGGCCGCGCAAACCCTTTCGAATCGCCCCCTCGTGGTCTGAAACGGACGCTTGAATGTGCTCTGGCGTCAGCTCCACCGACTCCAACGCTTTCTTGAAAAGCTCTGTGTAGCGATCACCTGCCAGGGCCCAAAGACAAAT